CTTTTTATCTAGTCTATTTGTATTCCTGAAAATATGTAGAGGTATTTCATAAAAACATCATTTGCAATGCACGCTCCAATTTTAACATTAAAAATATTCATACTAAGAAAGGAATTGAAATACATATTATAATACTCAACAAACAGGAATTTCACTTGTGCTTGTTTACAAATTAGCCTACATGTCAGCCACAATTTTCTATGCTTTTTCAATCCTAATCTCCTATGTCAGAAGATCTGGAGAATACTATTACAGAATATACCATAATATGTGACACTTAACTGCATAGTGTTTTCTTCTGTCAATTTAGATATTATAATCCCAAATCTATGAGATATTGTTAAATTCTACTTTTCAGCAGTCCCAGCCAGCATGGAAAATTATAAAGAATTTTGATTTAGAAAAATGTTGAGGTTGCAAATTCTCTAATCCTGAATTAGAAGGAATGAGAGGCTCATAACAGAGATGCCTTTCCTGTTGTGGTACCTGCCATTTGGAATAATGTCTTCTCTGAAATGGTTGACCCCTACTCTGTTAGTCTTCAGGAAGATTCTAAAAACTTGATTTTACCTTTACCTTGAAGGTCTGTCCTTACTTGTTTGATCTAGTGATTAAAGCACCAGGCTAAAAAAGTGTGAAACTATGAGTTCTAGTCCTACCTTTATCATGAAGGGCAGCTGGGTGATCTACACTCTCTCAGCCCAGTTCACCTCACGGGGTTGTTGTAGGAAAAATAGGAGGTGAAGGTGAGTTTGTTATGGTTGCCACCTTGAATTATTTGTAAGGTATTATACAAACAAACAAACAAACTTTGGGCCAGGATGTCAAGTGAAACTAGTTTTTGAGAAATAGAGTATAAGTTTGGTGTGGTACAAGAGTATATTATTGTTACGTTTATTTTGGCCTTATTCTTGTTGATGTTGCTGATTTTAAATATGTGTGTTTCCTTTGTTTATATTAATATATACTACCTGTACATGTATACCTGGCAAGTAGTTATTTTATTATGCGCAAGGTAAAAGGCAAGTCTTCAACATTCATCTGAGTAAATCTGAAGATGGCTGACCTTTTGTGACAAGTTAGCTATGTTTAAAATGCCTTATGTGAATCTTTTAGGATGAATAAATCTATAGAGCAAATCTATAGAAAGATAAACCTGGGTGGTTAATTTGTTAGTTGATCAAACATGGACAAGATTGCACTATGACGTTCAAAATAATAATATAAAAAGATGGTAGTTACAATTATGCATTTAAAATTTTTAGGAAAAAGCAGACATTATATTTTATAATGTTGTGCAGTCTTAGATATTATTTGAATTATGCAAAAATAATTCAGAACTTAGACTTTCAAAGCACGTATCGTAACTAGTTTGATACATACTTAACTTAGAATTAAGCATTTCAATGTTTTTGCACACATACATATACACACACCCATACTCCTTTTTGTCTTAAGAACCTTGACACAGATAAATCCACACATTAGACATTTATAAAAAATGAAAATAGGACCAAAACTTAGCCTAAAATTTCTATTGTTAACTGAGACATTTGTTAAATGAGTTTTGTGACCTTTCTTGCCACAGTGTTAAGTGAATCACAGTTGATAAGATAGTAACATGATTGTTAAGTCAATCTGGCTTCCCCATTGTCTTTGCTTGTCATAAGGTCACAAAAAGGGATCACATTATCCTGGGAATCTGCAACCATCATAAATATGAGTCAGTTGCCAAACATTTGAATTTTGATCACATGATCATGGGGATGCTACAAAGGTTATAACTGTGAAAAATGATCATGTCACTTTTTCTGTACCATTGTAACTTTGAAAGGTCACTAAATGAACTGTTGTAAGTCGTGGACTACCTGTATTCACTTTGTACATTATTCTTGAAACTGGTGATTTCTGATCTACTTTAAAAATAAGAATGTAAAAATGTCTATGGAGATTCTCAGTCATCCAGGTCATGATGCTTGTCTCAAAGGTGCTTTTTCAAAAGGCAACCGGACTTTCTTGGGGTTTTTTTTTTAAATTTTTAAACTTTTTCACTTGTCTTCCAAAAAGCTTCTTCAGTTTGCTTGGATGACAAGCATTTTTTTAAAAAAATACCTTCCCCCCTAAGAAAGTCCAGTTCTGAAAAAAGCATCTTTGGGATAAATATAACTTGAATGATTGAAAATCTCCACAGACTGTTAAGGATTAGCAATTTCTTAAATTACCTGAATTACAACATTCAAAGATTGATAAATAAAAGTCAAATGAAATTGACTGGATTCTGCCATGGGATCATGTATTCAGACAGGATATTAAATATATAAACAATAATGCAGAGGATCAAAGCACAATTTATATGAATAACAAACTGACTTTATTTGAATCTAAGTAGTATTCAGATATAATTATACAAAAGAAAAAAAAAAGATGGATTAATTTCCAGATAAAATGAGCTAGATAAAATGACCCTTTTTATATTCTTGTCCCAAAGATGCTTTTTAAAAAGGCAACTGGACTTTTTTTTTTATTTTTCCTTGAAGATATTTGCTTCTCATCCCAGCAGAACTGAAAAAGCTTCTTGGATGAGAAGTGAAATGTTTTCAAAGAAAAAAAAACCCAAGAAAGTCCAGTAGTGTTTTGGAAAAGGCACTTATGAGACTAATCCTTATGGCAAGTAAACTATAAGCACATAGGAAAAATATGTCTAAGAAACTACAGAAGTAATACCCCTACTATCCCATTTAACCTCACCCCACCTCAAAAAATGGGAAATCAGCATATTTATTAGCTGTGAAATACCAAACATCGGTTAGAAAATGATTAAGGAAATCTAATATAAGAATGAAATTTAACAATCATATTGAATATAAAATTGGCTTATCTTCTTCAACTCAAGATAGCATATACCAGTGGTGGCTAACCTTTTTGGGCTCCCGTGCTGAAAATTGTACACACGCTCACATGCCAGCACCCAGAAGACAATGCGCAGGGCTCCCCCATGCCTCCTGCGCATGCGATCATGTCTCCCTTGTACCCCGTTCCCCACGCATGCGTGCCAGATACCTGACAATCAGCTGTTGGGCTGGTGTGCACATGCATGTGCAGTGGGGCTCTTCCGGGAGACCTCTTGCGTGCTGGCAGAAGTGGCTCTGTGTGCCACTTCTGGCATGCATGCCACAGGTTCGCCATCACGGGCGTATACAATATTTCTACCTCACATTTTGCCTATTGCTATAATGCTCTGAGGTAGTATGTGTCTGGCCTGAAGCTATCTAGCTGGATTTCATAACAAAAGGAGAACTAGAACTCGCAGCCCCTCATTTTCTAGTCTAGCACCTTAACCTTTACACAACCTGGTGCTTATATTTAATGTAGTTTGGTCTTGGCAACTTTAAATCTTTTACTGTACTTGAGATTTGAAATCTTTCAGGTTTCATAATGTGGCAGCCATGTGGTAGTTTTACTTGCTTATAGTAAAAAAAAAAAGAGTGAATTTCTTATGTTAAGGATATGTTTATTGAAACATACTGAGAGAAGTTTTAGAAAAATTAGCAGTTTGTACTTTTAATAGGTTTTAGAAAACTATGAAACATTCATTTCCAACTTGTATGCCGTTTGCATCAAATGTTATTACATTCTCAAATCTCCATTTTATTTAACCTTTACTGCTACTTCAAACGTAATAGAAGTTAGTTCTATGAAGTAGAAATAAGTTAAGTAGATTCCTAAACTGGCTGGTGCAATTACTAATATTAAATTAGAAGTACTGTATTTCTAAATACTTCTATTACTTCTGTTAAATAATGCTCTATTTTATAATCTCCTGGCTTTCAACTTATTTCTAGTCTATTCCTATAAAGCCCTCAAAGTCTGTCATAAACTACAACCATGTCATAGAAGAATTTCTGAAGTGTTTAGCATTGTAAGAGACGGGGATAAGAAATACTTGTTTTGCAAGCTTCCCATTATTTAGATCAGAGGTTTGAACTCAATATCCTCTGCTTCACTGATGTTGCGCAGAAAAGCCTAGAATTGAGCTGTTTTTTAAAATAAAAGAAATACATTTTATAGTATACAAAAGTATAGTATGAGCATTAATTCAACATGATCTAGAAAACAAACTAATCAAAGAGAAAATCTACCCGGGACTGGGGATATGTAGGGCAGCTGAACTAATTTTTAGATAAAATCAAAATATGTCTTTGGAGCCAACCTCATATTTTCTGAGTATTGAGAATGGAACAATGTGATGTAATAGAATATTTTTAAAAACATAATGTAAATGTTTTCAAGGTTTGGCTCTAAAAGGGTGTAAAGGTTTTTGGAGGCTCTTTCGGGTCAACAGGTTTTTATATTTATAACGGTAATAGATTCCTAAACTGGATGGTCCGATTAATATTATTTATTTATTTTATGTATCTTGTACTTTTAAGCATTTCATTAAACAACTGAGATAATTCTGAGTTAGATTACAAGTGTCTTTTATTTACTTCTAAGCTGCCCAAGATTCCTATGCTCTATTTGCTTAAGAAAGATTTTTTAAACTCCAAATTTCATGTAACAGATTGTGCATCTAATTAAAAAACAGAATTTCCTCCATAAATTCCCAAATTATGATAAACATTCTGAATTAATTGTAGTGCATAAATGATATATTAAATAGATAACAGAAAAAAGCACAGAAAGGAATTGCAAAATGTCAATAATGAAATACTGATTTTTACTCAGTTTGTAGTATCTGACAGAAGGTGGCGATCTATACTTACTTTGAACACTATATAATGCAATTCTACTTAGAATTCTGTATATGAAAAGAAGCATATAGAAGGAATATGAGCGTTAACAGGATTTTTACTATCTTTACTTTCTTTACTTTACTTTCTTACGCTAACAATCAGATACTATCTATTCCAGTTTAAATATATATATTTCAAGTAGAAAAATAATGCACATTGTACAAGAACAAGTGATATGTACTACTTAGATATGATAAGAATACTTACAGGCATCTCTAATATATAGCAACATAGCTAAGAAAATGTAGTCAACTAAATCAAGAGTGATGCTGTCAGCAAATAAAGCATCCCACACAACAAGAAGGTCCTGAAGAAGAAATTCTCTTCCAAATAGAAGCCTTATCCATCTCCTAGAAAGAAATTCCAAGGAACACATCACAAATTGCACATCACAAATGATAAATAATAATTTATAGAAAAATCCAATACATAATAATTTATTAATAAAGGAGCTCAGGGTTGACATGAAGGCTCCTTGGTGCTCTCTGAGCTTGCTTTTTTCCTTGCAGACATTTCATTACCCAAACTAGGTAATATCATCAGTGCTAGTAAGGAGTGCTATTTGCTGACAGTTCCTTACTAGCACTGATGATGTTATCTAGTTTGGATAATGAAACATCTGCATGAAAATAAACAACCTCAGAGAGCACCATGCACCTCTCATAATAATTTATTACATACCTAGATGGTATACTTAACTGGATTCACATGACTGGAGTTGGAGACACATTAATGATTTATTTTTGAACTTTTTGTATGAAAGTAATTCTAAGAACAGGTTCCCCTCCCCCCTGGTATGTAACCCGATATGTGGTTTAGAAAATAACAAATTCTGCATTAACCAGATTACATAAAGAAGTGTATTAAGGTGTTTAAAACCACTGGTAGTTTGTATGCCTATTCCTGATGAGCTCAACTATAAAAAGTTGTTATGGAATTGATCAAATTGTTTATGAAGTGTACCTTCCTTTTAAAAGGTCTTAGGTAACTGAACCTAATGGTTTGTTTTAATAAGGCATTAATCCTATGTCTAATGCCTATCTTAAGTAGACATTTATATTATCAAGTTATAACCACTGCATGTGCAATGCAGACATAACTTTCAGTTGTGTTTTATGCTAATAGCTGATGCAATTAAAACTCAAGAAATATAATACATTTTTTCATCTAATTTAAATAAACAAATACAATATATCTCTCAAGTGCTACAAATCAGAATTTCTAAAACTTGAAAAGGAAGAGGGAGCACAGTATCTTTGCAAAATTTACTGCTAATTATACTGCACAAGGTTTGGAAGATTTCATCTTGGTGACTACCACACAGAAATCATTACTTTTTGGTGTTACAAATATAATTTGGACTGTGAATGAAATCTTTCTCTTTTCACCAACTTATGATTCACAGATTGTGAGAAATTTGTACTAGAAACAGATAAAATTAATACACTAAAAAGAACATTTGTGTCTTTGAAATGGAGAGGGAAACGTATTTTGACAGTAGGATTCAATTTTTTTTTAAAAAAAATCAGAAATTCCATTTTCTTCTGTATCATTTTACGATTTGGATTAACTGCGGATGCTCAAGTCAGTTTGTTTGGTGCTTTTTATTTTCTTTTTAAATTGTCTCTTGAAAATATTAAGCACTGGAATGAAGAATTATTATTTTCACAGAATTAGTGAGCTAAAGGATTTCTCTGCTTTTGAAATTATAAGGCTATCAGCCTTGCAGAGTTGATGGGTATGTCTAATTCACACAGTTGAAAGTTATTGCATTCTACCTGCTATCTGTACCTTTTCAGCAACATTGTAGTCATATCCATAAACCAAGGATCCCTAATATCTCTAAATAGCTGGACTACAGCATGCTTTCTTTTCCATAAAACAAAATAGATGCTCTAAAGAATTATGTCTGAATCGGAATGTTTTTATACTAATTAACACACTTTTACTGTTCTTTCCAATATGTAGATATAATCTAAGTTTCACTTAATGATACCACTAGACAAGAGGAGTCCCTTTCTTTTGAATGGTTGTATAGTTTAATTATAGTTCTGTCCTGTTAATTCTAGCTTCACATCTGCTACACCTGCAGACTGCAATGCTCAAGACGGTGAACCCTTTTATCACATTTCGTAACACAATAATTTATATTTACCACATCAACACAGAATTGCAAATCAGTCTAAATACTGAAGGACTTTAAAAAAAACAAACCAGTTATAGTTATTACTATTTCCTTCCTAAAAAGCATAGTCCAGATTTTTGTATAATTAAACCTTAGTCTCAAAACAACCCATAATTACTACCCACAAATGGTAGTTTAATAATGACCTTCAAGAGAAATATTAATATTCTAGAAGACATTAGAAATATTACATTTAAAACTTTCAAAAGAAATTATTTTTATTAAGGATTACCAAGAATAAATTTAATGAATGCAGCTATAAATAATAGATAACTGGATCAATGGTATGACATAAATAAATAAAATAAAAAAGTACCTTATTAAGAATACTATCAAACTATGATTTGAATACCATCACAATGTGATGTTTAAATTTTTAGAAGAGAAACATAATGAAAAATAATATAATTACATAATGCTATATAACATAGTTCAAGAATATTAACCTATTTCCTATTGAAAGAGGACTGAAATTTACAAAGGGCACGTATCAATGATCTATTGTTGCAAATTAAATATGGATTAGATATTGTATAATAATCCATTAGCCCATTCCCATGTGTGAAATATTAAGAATTTGTCTTGTACAATTCATATTCTGGTACAGTACCCTGATTTTCTGTATTTTTAGAAGTAGCAAAAATGAAGCATTTCTGATACTTGCAAAACCCAATGAATTATAATGCAGATAAAAATGTTGAAATAGTATGATAAATCCAACCATGTCAATGACTGCTACAAGTCCCAAACTTTTTCTCCAGCAAGACTATTATCACACCCTTTAAAAAAAATAATTTGATACTATCTCAAATATTCCTGTATGGTTTCTTACCTCACAGAAAAAAAAAAGAAAGAATTCAGGAGTACTTAGCTCCTTTAAACAGTGTTTTCAAAAATGCCATGCTAAGTCAAATCAACTTTATTATAGTCAAAAGTAAACTATATTAACTGCTTACAATGTCAATAGTATCTCTTACTAATACAGTCCTATTAAAAACTTTAAGACACACTCTATTAACATGCACTCAGGGATTGTGTAGTTCTCCTGTTTCTCTAAAATTGCAAGCTATTATTTAACTTTTTAATACACTATAAACAACTTGTTTATCCTCATCTGACAAATGTACAAAAAAAATTCACACACCTTGAAATTTTGCCACAATTGGATTAATATTGTGGTTTCCGTAAAAAATATCATATAAAAGCATAATAACATATTTCCCTACTACATTTTCTTTTCCTAACTTTCATTCTCTATAAAATTGCTTTATCTAAATTGAAAAAAGCTCTCATGTTCAAAATGGCACCTTCAAAATTATTGCTTTTTCCTGAAATGGGTATGGCTTTCTTTAGTGTTCTTTCATTATCTTCTTTTAAAAGACTTTTAAAAATAATAGTTTCTATTAACGTTACTGTTAAGAGAAGTAGGGTAAATACAACAAAAAGGGCAAGAATTATAATTCTGTTTTATCACCTACTGTTAATATTGTGGAATCTATCTTGGTTTCATCATTTTTATTCATGAATGTTGAAAGATGTGTTGATGGAAGAATGCATCAATTCAAATAGTTATACACATGTATTTATAATTTTAATAGACAATATAACATGACAATGGTTGAAGCTGTCCCAGATCTAATACATACCAACATGAATTTTGCATGTGGGGTACTGATGTTTAGGCTACAAGACTACATCTCTCTTTCACACTCCCAATTGAACACATTGCCAAGGAGAAAAAAGGATGAAAATAGCATGTACAGATCATTCTCTATTCAGAGGGAAACCCCATATGCATTAAGCTGAATGCCTGACAAAGGACTCAAATGTGATTAAAAACAAAAGGAACCACAACTAGTAGAGACAGCTTGATAAAGTGGCAAGAAAAGAAAATTGTTTGTATGAATTCATTTCTCTATTTTCTCCCATGTAAGTGACTGTTATTCACTGCAGTGAAGTAATGTGGTAGGGTAAACTGTTAGTGAGCTGTTTAGTGCCAAAAACAACTACCAAAAGTTCTATGGGTAAAATGATGGTATTTCTTTTCTTTCTGTAAAAAATTAATAGATAAAAGAAAGCACATACTAGATTTCCAAAGCTTTCTGCCAGTCTTTAGCCATGAGTAGATACAAAAGAATAGAGGCAAATATTTGAACAAAATATTAACTCCAATTTTAGAACATATTCTAATGATGCACACTGTGCTTTTACATTTGACAGGCCAGTGACAGAAATTCTAGTTTCCATTGCTGTCATAATCCAAGGACTGCTTGTATCTTGGGTCTAAAGCTCTTTGCCTTCCAAGTCTTTTGTAACTTGTCACAATAATTTAGTAGTGCTGAAGACCGCAATAGCAATAGCACATAGACTTATATACCGTTTTATAGTGCTTTACAGCCCTCTTTAAGCAGTTTACAGAGTCAGCATATTGCCCCCAACAATTTGAGTCCTTATTTTACCCGCTTTGGAAGGATTGAAGGCTGAGTCAACCTTGAGCCTGGCGAGATTTGATCTGCCAAATTGCAGGCAGCTGTCTGCAGCAGAAGTAGCTTGCAGTACTGCACTCTAACCACTGCACCACCTAGGCTCTTTAAGCTTCAATCAAAGCCTGTTTTCAATTCTAGTAGACCACTTTGTCATGAAGCCTAAAGAACATTTTGAAGGATATTGTTCTGGAAATTCTTGATCAAGGAAAAACTAACTTTTCAGAAAGCAGAAGCAGAATGGATTTATTGTCACCACAGTATTTCATGTTATGTCTAAATTAACTTCTGAAAGTAAATTAAACTGCCCTTCAAAGGCCATAGACAGCAGTCCATTTCTATCCATTAGTTTGGCTAATAACGCCTTCAAATATTCATTAAGGAGACTGGAAGTGACATGACGACGTCAGCAGCAAGGGAATGGCAGCGACATCAGCAGTAAGGGAATGGAGCTCTCTGTTGCCTGCGCTGGCTTCTACAAGTTCATGGGCTCCAGAAGCAGCCAAAGCCACCCTGGAGGGGTAGCGAAGCAAAGGAAAGTGCCCTGTGAGGTATCGGGGGGAACGCAACTCTCCTGAAGAACCCCAAGGCTATTGCTCTTTAAGTCATGTCGCGGAGAAGAGGTGGCCAAGATGGCCACCAGACCGCCGGAGACAGCTTCAACCTAAGAAGAGTGCAGTAG